TATCAGTTCATATGATTTCCAAACTGCATTTCACGCTTGCCAGGCAAGGTTCTGTGAAATTCGCTGGAAACATGAGAAATTCCTCATCCGAGTATGGGAAAATTAAAGCACCATTCTCTTATCTATTTAAACGAAATAAGCTTAATACAGATCATTTTCAAGCATAACTCATAGTCTCGAGAACTACTTATATCGGCAGTAAGTAACGTCTTCGAAGGAAGTGGGGTGTGAATGCAAACTTAACTATCACACATTAACCCAAATTAAGAAGCATAGGCTGGCTGAGTCCTTACATGATTCTTGACTTAGGGTTTCTGCGAAGTACCAAGTCGACAGGGCTGCCGGTCAACAGGTTGACAATTACAAACGCAAAAGTGACATTATTCAGGTTGACCTGAGTCCAAATTTTCGTGGGAAATAAGTGGTCTAATAACGAAATATTTGTCATAATATTAGTATTATATCCACAGATTCAGGCAAACGACTTGTCACTTTCCCAAATCGGGATCTGTCTCAAACATGAATATGTGAAAGTGAATAGGACATTTGCACTCATCAATCGGATATTCGGAAGGTTGAACACACTTTGCACAGATTTGTGAAACGGACACATTGAAACTAATTATCGAGTACACCAAATCCTTTCGTTGCTACGGCGACATTGCAATAGATTGAACTCGTTTTCACAACTTCAAAGCGACCTAGTTGGACGCATCATGTCCGAAGTCCTCGGCCATAGTTGTTGTGGCAACTCCCAGCGTTGGAGCGTGCACACGCCACATTCCCAGAATGTTGCTGGCATCGTCAAGACGTTAAAGCCCGGTGCTAAGACTGGCAGAGCGCACTGACGACAGTATCGAAACGTCTGAAAAGGTACAAAATCCACGGTAGATCGCTGGCAATTAGCATAGGATTTTGGACAAGATTCGTTCAACCAAATCGCCCTGGCAACACGACCAAGTTGCGAAAACGGGGTTAGACCAATTCTGATAAGCTTACTCTTCATCGTCCATCTATCGCCTCACTTCCTCTTTTCTTCTCCTTTCTCTTGATCTTTCTAACCATCTATCCATCCATATTTATCTGTTTATTTTTAATATTCACATGTCATTCTACTTGTGCCGCTAAAAGTTGTATCAAGCTTTCTCTGTCTTGTCCGAACAAGATAATTATCATGTCCTCATTTCTATTGGGTATGGAAGCTATTTAATGTTTACATCTTCAGAACAACTTTTATTCGCTCCGTTCATCGAAGGCAATGCAGCGAATTTTTCGGATTAGCTTGTCGGAAGCGTATACAGACATGATGCTATGTGATTTCGTTCTATTTGCATTTGTCTTACAGGAGAAATTCGGCGACTCGTTGGAAGTAATAAGCTGCGGTCAAAAGATCGGTACCAAGGGAATAGATGAATGCGCCAGTGATGCGAACACGGACGACCTGGCGCATGACAGTGATCTTGATCTGGACACGCGTAAGTAAATTGACGAAAGTCTGTTTCAATGGGATTAACTAGAATATTGGCCATCTCCCATCGCTAAAATTCGCTTTCTAAGCCGAAGACTTAACTTGGTTGAGACAACTCTTATTTGCTCCTTTGTCTTTTCTGTAATCACATTTGACAGGACCCGGTTGAAATTAACCGACCAAGTAGATCTCCGCAGCGGCTGCCGGTTATGCACAGATTTGTTGGGAAGATTGGATGGAATCCATAAGATCAGGACCAATTCATGCGGAACCTCTGAACAAAATAGAGAAAATTTATAGAATTAAGACTCGTTTTGCCTTTCAGACGTCAGGCCATTGTACAACATAACAGACACTTCTGCACATGCCACTTTTATCTCTTCACATTTGCATACCCACAATGTGAAATGCCGAGTTGTAGCACATCGTTCCATGGGACGATTCAATTCCACTTATCACACCCTCAGCCAAAATGCAGAACCCACCTACCGAAAACTTTGATATTGCCAAAACACGCCGTAGCCAACATACACCCAGACATGTTCCAGACATTATGCAATCGAGGTGGTAATTAAAATACATACACACATAAAGAGATTGATGGTGGTCATTGAACCTTGACGACCGAGAACAGATCTTTTTGTGCATGAAGACATATAAACACAAATACACACAAACCGGCATACGACTTGAGGGAATACATTAACTTGAATATCCTTATCAGGATTATAGCCTGCTTGGATGATGTGCGTCATATGACGGACGAAATGTCACCACTTTTTCGTGGGAGTCGAAGAAGAATGTTACAGCAAAGCAGGCTGGTGCGACGGCTGATTCCGGTTGTACTCCAGTCGTTTGGTCTCAATACGATGATCAGGTTGACGAAGTCAACACACTTGCACATTGCCTCATCTCCACCGATGTACTTGAACCCACTTCGGTCGTTAGGGCACCAAGAAAACTGGATGAAGTTGGTCGTCACGGCTCCCAGACAACCAGCTGGAGGGTGCGAAGCAAAGTTCGGTTTCGAGGAATCTCTTCTTTCATAATTGTTGAGCTTACTTCCGTTTCGAGTGAAAATGTTTGGTGAAGAGATTCGAAGACCGATTTCACCAGAGTATGACAACGGACTCCTCTTGACCAACTGTCGATTGGCTCTTCTGGAGCATTCATGCTGACGCTGTTTCCAAGGCATTCTCTTTGGATTCCGGTGAAAAGGTGCTAGGATTTCGTCCGTCATTTGACGAACATCATCAGAG